GTACCCAGCCAAAAGCAGTTGTTCTGAGCTCCCCCTTTGGCACATTGTCCAGGTAAAGCCCTGCTGTCAGAACACAGGGAGGTGCTCAGGTACCTGCTCACCTGTACTGCAACACAACTAGCCATACATGGGTTGTTGCCCCCTTAGATGGCTGAAAAGTCCTAAAGAAGTACTTGGGACCACCTCTTATTGCCAAGAGATCCTGCAATGCAACAGTCCCAAAGAACCTGCAAAACCCAGCCCCGAAAGCAAATCCCAAGCCCCGAGCGAATCCAGAATGCAGCACAGAAAAGGAAAATCATCTGCAGCATTTCCAAGGAACGAAGCCAGCAGGCTCTGCAAGAAGAACCCCAAAGCCAAGGGCTGCCTTTCCCAGTCCCCTCAGCCAGAGATGCAGCTGTCGGGGCAGCCAGCCCAGCCAAAAACACTGGCTGGTGCCACATGCCACCAAACCCCAGCACCTGCTCCCATCCAGAGAACATCCCTCCTTCCAGGCTGCACGAAGAGACAACCCAGCTCCGTGCCAGCACACCAACCCAGACGAAATAAGCATGTTTTTATTTCTGAGGTTCTAACCCCAACATCACAGTTTGCTGACACTTTAGGTCTGGAGTTGACAAACAAACAGAAGCAGAGCGTGGGAGCAGAAGTTCAAACCAATTTCTGTCAAATTCACCCAACTTATGGTTCAGGGAGAGAACAACATCTTTTTTTCTATTCCTTGAGGACATTTTGTATCTAAACTAACAACAATTTATTTTTCTAACATTCCCATGAGTGAAAGCAAGGTTTGGCAACTTGCGAGGCAGAAACTAATTTTTGCTTTTCATTTTGCTAGGATAAAATTAATTTTGCTTGAGGGAAGGTGACTTTTTTTAATTGGATTTAGGTTCAGAGAAGGAAAAAAAAAAAAAAGGAAACAAAAATCACTCTTCACACAGCATACCATACATGCTTCTGAAGAAGGCCTTCTCAAACTCCACAGTGGTGAGCAAGAGAAATCTCACTCACTCTGCCCACTGCTACTTCCAGCACCTTTTCACACGAACTACAGATGAATTTTTTTTTTCTATGTCTTCCCATCCAGAAGCCCATCCTGCTAAAGCAAACCCCAGGCTTGTGACGATACGGCTCCTTGCATCCTACAGAGGCAAAAAGCAGAAGGATGCTCAGACAGGAAAGCCTGGCACTGCACCTCCAGGTACAAAGGCTGAGAAGTCTGTAGTGATGGAGTAGTCACCATTACCCTCCACACCCAGATATCAAGGCTCCACTAAAATCACGAGCACATCTCACCCACGTTTCAATTCTGTGTCTTCCACGCTCGAGTTCTCCACTTAACACACCCTGTTTCTGGCTCACAAGCCCACCTCAGACTGTGCTACAACTCTGGGACCTGCTAGACCCTCCTGCCACTGCCACAACCTCCTGAGCAGCTTTATCTGACAGTCCACCAAGAGACCACACACAACCCACAGAAACATCAGGAGCTCTCTGGACATCGTTCTGGGCAGGACAGCCCAGGAGAACTCAGACCACCTAAAGCTGAGCACGTGCAAAAGTCATTGTGCAAAGAGAGGAGTGAATGTGTAAGAAGAAAAGATGAGAAAGCACAGCTTCACCCGAGGGGGTTTGGGTTTGTGGTTCAGCACCAAAGAAAGGGCCACAAGCACCAGCGAGCAGCCTGGAAGGGTTACCTGCTCCACAGCCAAGCACCACAAATTACATTATCATAAGCTATGAGTCACTGGAGAAATATTGATAAAAGAGAAAGCTGCTTTTGAAATCAGATGAGGAAATGTAAAAAAATAATTGCATAAAAACTTCTTTGGCTGTTTAATTTAAACACTTTTGTGCCTGGGGCTCTAAATGAATATACCGAGATCTTTTCGTTCCTGCAGCAATCACGTATTTCCTGCTATTACTGATAATGACTTTAAAACAGCACACTTAAGCAGGGCTGCTGCTTTATTTTGAGCCTTTCCGAGGTGGGAGTGGAAGTGATAACACCGGGGGAGGATGGTGCTGACAGCTCGTCAGGGGAAGCATATGCCAGTCTGGAGAGGAGCTAATGAGGGCTGGCACCCGGACCTCCCACGGGAATTTCTAGACACATCATGTCCCATCCTGACAGAGCCCAGGAGCTTGTCACCTTCCTGACAGCAAATAAACCAAGTCTGAATGAACAGCAACCTTCAGAGTTTCTCCAGGGCAATCTTGAATTTGAATATGGTAGCACGGGGACCTGACCCAAAGCTCAATCCTTTTTGTTGGCTTCCAGCAGGTGAGTCACATTTCTGAACAGGACCAGGTGGGTAAATGATACTTTGCCTGAAACAACACGAGTAATTCTCCCTTTTTCCTCATAATCTTTTGCATGAGCTAAAACCTAGCCCAAAAATCACGAGCGTTTAACAATATCACTGCTTCTGTAAATAAACTCTGTCCAACATTTTGTCCATCTCTAGTTCCACATACCTCCACATGGATACCATGAGGACAAGGGAACAGTAGGGAGGCCAGAAGAGCATCTGCTGTGTGACACCACTGTCAGACACTGCCATGAGGAGCCACCAGGATCCAAGAGGGAGAGGACAAGCAGGTATGACAGCAGGGCTGGGCAATAAGGAATCCAGAGACAAGAGACCAGAGGCTCTTCAGAAAAGAAAGCAGGCTGCTCTGTTGTTCTGCTTCCACAGGCACTCAACACAACCAAAGCCAGCCACAGGACCAGGCCAGAGCCCACAAAGAGCATTCATTTCTCAGCAAAAGGACTAAATAAAATAAAAATACAAAAAAAGGGCTTCAGGCTGGATTCGGTCCATCCATTTCACCCCCTTAATATTTCTACCATTTTTGTTTCGAATGAAAAATGAGCAAAACCCTCACTATCTGGGGCAGTTCTGATGATAAAATGCTACTAGATAGGCCCCAGGATAAACCATTAGAAAATAAAAATAGCAGTTGGCAAATGTCCTGGCAGGCACTCAAATGAGCCTGCAAACACCCGTGCAGCTAAAGAACAGAGATCTTCCCTTCAGCACCTAAAGGTGTGTTTACTGCCAACAGAGCACAAAAGCCAAGCACTGCAAAAAACCACAAAACATTTCAACATGAGGCATTTGATTTCCCTCCCCCAGCAAATGAGGTGAAACTGCTTTTTTAAGAGCACCCACTTTTTCCTAGCTGTAGGTGTTTACACGGGGTCATTTGGGAAGAGAGCAGGAAAAAACCCCAAGTCTTTCCAGGCAGCGTTTCCCTCCCAACACCTGCCGAAGGGAAGGAGGGGCACCTGAGTGCCAGCACACATCAGCCTGGTCCTGCAGGGATGCTGAGGGGGTTTAAGCTCTGCTGATTCCCCAGTCCCACGAGCCCTGAGGGTCTGGTTATGCTCCACAACAGCACAATTCGAGCCAAACCGCCCCATCTCCTCCAGCAGCACTGCATAGGCAAGCACTTAGAGAAGGTAAAGGCAGACATGCTTGGTGAAACCCCCTGCTTCCCGACTGCTGTGACACTATCTGGGGTCCCATCCAGCACCAGCACAGCTGGGGGAAGGACTGTGCTGCCCTGGGGGCTGTGGGATCAAGCCTTCAATCAGCTTTGCCTGACAACAACAGTTACTGGTGTCAGGGCTGCACAAGGATTTGAATCACCCTGCTCCTGTCCACACCTTTAAACATGAAAGCTGCTGTTAGGAACTGTGCTGAACTCTTCATCCTCACCTGCTGGGATGATGGGCAAGCTTGCCTTAGACTGGACTGAGCTCAGCAGCTCCACTGTCAGGTGCCGTGTCATCTCCACGGCTGTTTCACTGCCTGTTAGGAGGGAGCAGAGGGATGACTTGTATGGGCTCATGACTGGTGGCCCATTTTGTGCTGGAAACCTGACATCACTCCGAGTTGCAGGGAAAACGGAAAATTCGGAAATTCTTCCCAAAGCACAACCAACACCCCTTTGCTCTCTCACTGTGGTCTCTACATGACCACAGACAGCACAAACAACATTCAGAACAAGCTGCCCTATCAATGCTCTTTACAGAACCCCCTCTTACCAGCTCTGTTGCTCACTTCAGTTTGCTGAGCAGCAGAGCTGATGCATTCTGCAGGTGGCCTACAGCCCACTGGGCACAACAGGTAACCTCCACAGACACTGCAGGAGTGCCCCACTCCCACCCAAGCCAGCTCAAACCCCTCTGACTGCCCTCCAGTCCAACATTAATTATTTACATTTACACTGTGGTAATGGGCCAAACAAAAGCCACAAAGCAACACACAGGACCTAAACTCTGGTACTTTCACTTCCTTTTCCACAGCACTGGAATCAGTTTCTGTTACAGAATTGTATTCTGTTGTCATGCCATGACAATCCAGAGAAGAAACAGTAATTTTGCCTCAGTATTTCTGCTTTCTCTCTCCCGAGAAAACACGATGTACTCAGTAATTATTGTTGTACCTTCTGGAGAAGGCAGGGAAAAAACCCCACACCACAAATAAAATCCCACAGGCTTCCTACAGACCTGTGTTTGGTGAAGGCAGGCACTGAGGTACCAAGCACAGCAGGGGAAAGATCACTGCAGATGCTGATGTGAGGCTCTAAGCCTGGATCTGCACCACACTGGAGTTATGCAAACGAGCAAAAATTGAGTAAGAAGAATTTTTGTACCAGTTTTTGCTGTTCAAAAAATACTATAATCATCCATCTGTCCAGAAACGTTATTAAGGATTACAGCAGAGGAAAAATTATAGCAGAGAAGTGCAGCCAGAACTGTGTTAGAATTTCTCTTGGGGCACATAACCTACATAAGTCCCAAAGAACAGAGAAAAACCCCTCCCTCCTCTCCCCAAAACTTGAAGATATGCAAGCTCTGCCGTGAAAAGCAGTGTTTATGGACTTGAAAAATCAGTAAACGTGGCTGTACAGGTGCTACAAATACAGCTGCCTGGAGGTGAGGGAGCCAAGTGCAGGACCGAGGGGCTGGAGGCACCTTCCATTCCTACCTGGCTCAGTGCAGTTCCTGACGTAGGGCTGTCCCCCGCCCCCAGGGATGGCAGTCGTGTTCTGCTCTCGTGCTTGCAGCAGCTGTCTCCCACTCCACTTGTCACTGCCCTCCACAGAATAGCCCAGGGCATCATAACCTAGAGGAAAAGAGCAGTAGATACATGAGGAAAGGCAACTCCTGACTCTGTTCCTGAACACCTGAGGCAGCCACAACTTTTGCATTTCAAAAAACCCAGGATCCCTCAGTTTTGAAAGAGTGGAGTTTCCAACCCTACTGGAAAGGGACACTGCCACCAGCTCCCCATCCCATGGGAGCCAGATGCATTCCTCCACAACTTCAACACTTCATACCAGAAGAGCATCTGTGGTTTCACAAGAGCTGTAAGCATCAATCAGTTTAAAACTGGAGTACTAGTCACTGTTTTGGTTAAAAAGTAAACCAAAATAAGATGACAACAAAAAAAACCTCACAAAACACCACACACAACACCTCAACTTACTCCTTGTGCACACATTCCACTGCTGTTAGGGACCAGCAAAACTGAATCAGGGACCAGCTGAATTTTGCACGTGCTTCCACAACACTGAAGCCATTTCTGCTCAGGATTACAGCCAATTTGGTGCTGCAGGAGGCCCCAGCCACCGTGGCTGACACACAGCTAGGCAGGCTCCTTGGTGAATGTCCACACCAGCACAGCCTCCCTCCTCCTGTCACCAGAAACATCCACAAACACCAGGGGCATTGCTTTGTCTCACTTCTCCTGACTCTCCCCTTGCTCTGCTCTCCCCTTCAGCTTTGCCCTGGTGCTGCTGAGTGAAGCTCTATTTTAGCAATGTCAACAAAACCAGCTGGCTGATTTCCACAATACTCTTGGCACGAAGCTGGTCAGCCTTGGACACACACGCTCATGTGTCAGTTCCATGCATCCTATGCCAGTTCAGATTCAAGGGAGGAAGAAAAAAACTTTTTTTTTTTTTCTTTTTAAGCCAGGAGGCATCCACTTTGAGCAGGCACAGGCACCAAATCAGCAACAGAGACCTTGAGCCTCTCTAATAACAAACAGCATTTGAGTGGGATTTCCACCCACCCACCCATCTCCTTCCGACCAAGCAGAACATGGACTTTCTCACAAGGACTTCTGAACTACTCCTGGTTTTGTCCAGCACTTTGCAGACAGACTGAAAGCAAAACCTGAGATTCAAATCTTGGGGCAATGTCTCAGAGGGTGATTAAGGACAAAGGAAAAGGTTCTCTGCGGGTCCCAACCCTTTTGTTAGGTTTCCTGGCACATCCCGAGGAGAGAGGTGGACAACCTGAGACTTGTCTCTCCTGCCCAGATCACGGTCTGCTCAGGCAGCTCCATGTCACACTACCAGTGAGGAGGCAACACTTGGGAAGGGGCTACCTGGAAATACACATCCCAGGCCACCAGCAGTGCCTGGGACCAACACTCCCACGATACACAGGAGTCATCTGGGTGCACGTTTGGTGGAAGAGCCACAGCTGCATGGACAGCCTGAAGCACCCCTGTTTTCTAAGCAAAAAAACCACTTAACTTGGTCAACTACATGTCACGATTTGAAGCTCCAAGCACTTTGTCCTTACTATGCTCTACTAATGTCAGAGAATGGAGTTTGCTGTCAGTTTAGTCTGTAAGCACCAGTAAGATCAAGCTGATGGAAGTGGACTGCGTTTCCCAGAAGGAGCACAAGCCACAGTGCAGCACCAGGCACCTCCCATAACAACAAACACTCTGGTCATCTCAGGAAAGCAGTTTCAGTTCCACATACAAGCTGCTTTCAAAGCAGGGGAACTCTTCTCCAAGCAGCTGATGCTTCACGGAGTGTCACTGCACAGAGAAACGGCACAAGGGAGAACACAAGGACTGCGACGGCCCCGAGGCTCTGGCAGAACCTCTCCTGCTCCCTCCATTTTGTCTCGGATGGCAAACTCTTCTGAGCACGGGGTAAAGAAGAAGAAAGTCACTTAAGGTGACTTTGGAAGGGGAAAAGCTTAATTTGGCAATAGAAGTGTTTATAAAGGCTACATCCAGCATCGACAAAAATCAGCATAAAGAGCAGCGGAACTGGTGCACAGCCGAGTTCGATGGGACAGCTCTGACCTACACCAGCAAAAGCTCTCCTCTGGTACCTCCAGGTTTGAGCAGAGCCAGCTGTCCCTCGGCAGGATGTGCAGCTCACTGCTCCCAAAATCCTGCCTAAGGTATCTCCACTCTAAAACACATTTTGCTCAACAGAGTAGTAGAAAATAGAAATTAGAGATGAAAGGAGATGCTTTTTCAAAGGTTTGGCCTTCCAAGGATTTCCCTGTGAAGACAGGGACACATCAAGATTTTAACCTTGCTAACAAGGACACTTCATGACACATAACAAGAGTCCCTGTGGTGTGGTGGAGGCAGCTCGAGGGCTGCCCTGGTGCACCAGCTGTGCTCTCACCCACCCGTCCAGAAAACAACTCAGAAAGCTGGACTGGTGTGGAATTTGGCAGATTCAGTCAAAGAGGAGCTGACTCTCTGCAGTTTAACCCCTCACACGTGGCTGCCTATACAGCAGGGACCTCACCTGTCCCACTGGACATGAAGCACCATGGATTTGGCCTGGCAGCATCTCTCCCTGCTTCAGGTGCTGGCACAAGGCACGAGTACCAGGGACATCACCTTGGCCGTAGCATCCCACAGCAGGGCTGTCAGGAACCCAGGCCACCACCACAACCACGGCCAAACTCTTCTTCCCAAGGAAAAGTTACAAAAAGAAAGCCAACAGCTTTCTTTCTCAAGTGCAGTTATTCAGGATTGGATGACTTTTAACGGGAAACACAACAAAGACTTTTTCATTTCCTCAGCAGAAGTAAAGACTGCTAAACACCCCGCATTAGCTACACTGCCATTTTGGGCAGGCCAGATTGAACACTTCTCCTACTTAATGTTCTAGCTGCTGGCTTTGCACTGAAATACTGTGACAGCCTCTAAAACTTTGCTACAATAAAGAATTTTTCCAAAGTGCTGCACCACAGCCTATTTCAAAGTGAATGAATTATTTTTTTAAGCACTGAACGTTGCCACAAGGTATTTTCCACAACTCCAATTACCCAGCACCAGTTTTACATTACACACTCGGAACCCGGGTTCTGGAGAGCTTCACTTGCGCTTCCTCACAGAGATGTTCCCATGGACAAGTAGAACATGAGTCACTTTTCCCTGTATTTGTGCCTGCTCTGCATTTCGCAACAGCAATAAGACAGTGCGGACGGTGCGTTTCCAGGGGCCGCATCTCTCTACATGAGACGGGGAGCACACGAGCCTGTGTTTGCTGGGAACTCCTGTCCCTGCCAAGCTGGGGTGGCAGTCTGGTGAGAACAGCCTCTCCAGCAACATTGCTGATCTGTTCCACTTACGATCAAGAAAATGAAATAGAGTGGAAAGAAGAACTGATCGGATTGCTCAGAACTCCTGAAAACGCTCTGTGTGTGACCCAGATCTCCATGTGGGAACTCAGGAGCTCCTTACGCTACTCCAGATGGCTCTAGCTGGATTTTACAACTTTCAGCACTGCAGAAACACAGCCAAACACATCCCGGGTGTGCTTCCCAGCACGAAGAACACTACAGCACTATACAACATCCCCACGTGCCCCAACTGCACTCCGATCTGACAAGCGCGTTTATTTTCAGCATCAAGGCACGGGAACCCCAACAAGCCAGAAGAGCATCAGGACCTTGGAGCAGACATCAGGTTTGCCCCTGGGGGACACACTGGGGACAAAGCAGGCTGGCGTGGAGCTGGGGGTGCCCCTGCCCTCCCACGGGACAGACAGCACAGGAGGCCTTGGCACAGCTGGGCAGCACACCCGAGCCAGCCAAGGGAGACCAGAGCACCCAAACCCACTGCTGGGAGAGGCACAGAGACTCACTGACCACAGGGCAGGGCTCGGCCTGACAATGCTGAGGGGCAGAAAGGCAGCCAAGAGGGAAGGTGCTCATGGAGCAGCAAAAGCAACAGGCTGGGGGCTGGCCCAGTCAAGGGGACAGCTCTGTCCCCACTGCCTTTCCCTGGCATACTGCACTGCTGCACAGGGCTCCACAGAGCTGGCAGGTATCCTCAGCTCTCACTCACAATAAACTACTTTCTATGCAAACTGCTGGCTAGAGCCAAAAACAGCACAGCTTTTCCGAAATACGCTTGCCCTTCCTCCTCTCTCGTCTGTCCCTTTTATCTATTGTTTTCATGGTGGCAGCTTTGGATTTTGGAGGGCTGGTTTCACAACCAGCTGAATTATCTCCCTCTCCCTGAAATTTTCTACAGTTAAAACAACAGGGAGGTATTTCAGAGAAAGAAAAAAGCCGGAACAAGCAAGCACAAGCTTCCACGTTAGGCTACCGCAGGGGGGGGAGCAGCGGTGTGGTGGCCTTAAGACAGAACAGGTGAATCCTCTTAGAAGAGCAAGACTCAGCTAAATTAACTGCAGCATCTCCCCACAGCTGCGCTCCCACATCTCTGTCCCTTTGGCCACTGGCCCCGGACCAGCCAGCCCCTGCACACAGGTGTTTCTCCTACCACCATCAGACCTGCTGCAGACCATCACCACATCATCTGAGCTCGGGACTGCACAAGCATTGAGCAACAGCCATAGATAGATTATCTTTCTTCATAGACTGATTTGGGAGATGCTTTCATTTTAAAATCAGCAGCAGCAGCAAACACCACAAATAGAGTATCCTCAGGGGGAAAAACAACAACAACCACCCAGAAATCCTACACCTGGCTTTGACAAGCAGCCTGCTCCTTCCATCTGATTTCAAAGCTGGGTTTCCACACGTGCCAACCCAAAGGGAAAGGCGCAGAAGGGCAGGGAAAGCACACTGCCCATGTTAATACCTGCCAATACCTGTACAACACGAGTGGGGCACAGAGGCCAAGCTGAGGCACTCACCAAACAGGGCAGGGTCCCTGCACCAAAGACCCCTCACCACATACCCTCCCAGGTATTTACTATGTGACCACCAGCAGAAAAAAAAAAAAACACCTGCAGCCCCCACAAAACCCCAGACACAGTTACATCCCAAACACTTCTCAGTCTGTCACAGAAGTAACTGTAGCCTCACTTAGAGATCCAGCCT